TATCTTTGTATTACCTAAACCTTCAGCGGTTTAATCTTATCAGCTGCATTGGGCAGTAGTGTTTGCCCAGATTCTCAAGCATCAACACTCTCACTGTAACTTAACATAGTCATATGACTAAGTGTAGAACCTATTTTTAAACAGTAACTTCTGTTATAGTCCTTTGTTGCTCAGTAGATTTCCCCCACACTTACACATTTTTGCTGTTTAGAAACTCCTAGATATTTAATCATTATTTTTGTTGCATTTACTAGTTACTCATTTACTGCAATCAATTTAAAGAAGTAAATGTCCTCCATTTAAATGAGACCTAAAGGTATATTGGCTAACTCTTTTGTTTCAAAGGTCCAACAAACATAATTTTAGTTGTAGGAAACATTGATGAAGATGATTGTAAGTGTGGCAGATACACTTCTGAGTCAGTAATATTGTTTCTCATACTTTTTATACTTCCTGGTGCTAATGATGATGATGTATTCTGCACATCCATTTCACAACCATCTTCCCTGTTATATAACTGAGCCACTACTTTCACCTATTTTCACATGTCTTTTCAATTTCCCAAATACTCAGTGGCTTGGTAACATTTAGAAATTATCATTGGCTACTGGTTATTTTCTGCCTTTATCAACTTTATCAGAGTGTTTCCTCAGAATGATGGTGACTTTTAAAATTCTGCTTGGTATATGCATGTTCATGTGTTCCAGTTGGTGCTTTGTCAACATATATTAAAATTTTGAGAGTGTTTTCTAGTTGATTATCTTTGGGAAATGTTCCAATTAATATATTAGATGGTTACCTTTTAATGCCACAGTGTATTAGTTAAGGCTCTTTGGTTGAAAGTAACAGAAAACAACTTGATTCACTCTAAGCAAAACAAAGCAATTTATTAAGTGGTGACAAGACTGCCCACAGACTCCAAGACTAGGAAGAAGTTATAACTAGAAAATGGAATTCTGTGAAGAACTCAGATCTCTTGGCTTTGCTTATCACATTTTGTGAGTTTCTCAATAAAAATTAGACAACTCAATTTCAAAGATAAAAACCAATCTACAAGCAATGACTAGCAGACTAAATAATGCAGAAGAACAAATAAGTGATCTGGAAGACAGAATAAAGGGAATCACCCCATCAGAACAGCAGACAGAAAAACAAACAAACAAATCAACATAAAAGATCTATGGGACTATATAAAGTGTGCCAACCTATACATAATAGGAGTTCCAGGGGGAAAATAAAGAGTGGAAAATGTGTTTGAAAAAATTATGGCTGAGAACTTTCCAAACCTGAAGAAGGAAAGAGATATCCAGATAAAGAAAGCACAGAGTGTCCTAAACAAGATGAAGGTAAGCAGACCCACATCAAGACAAGAGAAATGCAAATCAAAACCACAATGAGATATCGTCTCACACCAGTCAGGGTGGGTACCATCAAAACGTCTATAAATACTGGACAGCTACATGTAAAAAGATGAAATTAGAACATTCTCTAACACCATACACAAAAATAAGCTCAAAATGGATTGAAGCCCTAAATGTAAGACCAGATACTATAAAACCCCTAGAGGAAAACATAGAACATTCTTTGACATAAATAACAGCAGTATTTTTTGGATCTGTCTCTTAGAGTAATGGAAACAAAAGCAAAAATAAACAAATGGGACCTAATTAACCTTAAAAGCTTTTGCACAGCAAAAGAAACCATAAACAAAAGGAAAAGATAATCTACAGAATGGAAGAAAATATTTCCAAACAATGTGATCAACAAGGGCTTAATTTCTAAAATACATAAATAACTTATACAACTCTATATAAAAAAAAAACTACCCAATCAAAAAATACTCAGAAGACCTAAACAGACATTTCTCCACAGAAAATGTTACAGATGGTCAACAGGCAAGTGAAAAGATGCTTAACATCATTAGTTATTAGAGAAATGCAAATCAACACTGCAGTGAGGAACCACTTCACACCAGTCAGAATGGCATCATCAAAACGTCTGCAAATAATAAATGCTGGAGAGGGTGTGGAGAAAGGGAACCCTCCTACACTGCTGGTTGGGAATGTAAATTGCTGCAGCCACTATGGAAAACAGTATGGAGGTTCCTTTAAAAAATTAAAATAAACTTACCATATGATCCAGCAATCCCACTCCTTTGCATTTATCTGAAAAAAAAACCTCTAATCTGAAAAGATACATGCACCCCAATGTTCATAGTAGCACTGTTTATAATAACCAAGACATGGAAGCAACCTAAGTGTTCAACAACAGGTGAATGGATAAAGATGCAGTGTGTGTGTGTGTGTATATATGTGTATGTATGTATATATATGTACACACACATATATATATACACACACACATACATGTACACAATGGGAATTTATTAAGCCACAAAAAAGAATGAAATAATGCCATTTGCAGCAACATGGATGGACCTAGAGATTATACTAAGTGAAATAAGTCAGACAGAGAATGACAACTATTATATGATATCACTTACACATGGAATCTAAAGAATAATACAAGTGAGAACATATACAAACAGAAACAGACTCAAAGCCATAGAAAACAAACTTATGGTTACCAAAGGGGAAAGGGAAATGGATGGAGGGATAGATTAATAGTATGGGATTAACAGATACACACCACTATATATAAAATACATAAGTAAGGATTTACTGTATAATACAGGGAAAAATACTGTATTTTCCTATAAAGGAAAATAATCTGAAATATATATATATATAAATAAAAAACTGAATCACTTTGCTGTACACCTAAAACTAACACAATACTGTAAACCAACTATAGGTCAATACAAAATAAATAAATAAATAAAATTGCACGTGTACCTTCCACCAAGCTAAGAAATAAAACATAACGCATATACTTTGAAGCTTCTGGGCACTCTTCTCTGATCATACACTCTTATTCACTGTGTCATCCATTTTCCTATCTCTCCTTGTTACATATATACTGAATTTCATGTTTATTTCTGTGCCTATATTTGTGTCACAACTAAATTGTATGAGTCCCCAAATCAAAATTATTTAGCTTTATTGATAATTGCTATCATATGGTATCTATTTTTTTTACAACTTGCTTTTCTCCCATAACATCTTACTTGTTAGAGATTTTCCTGTTGATATTTTTAGCTATAGTTTACCTCACTTTTGTGCAGTAGTTGAATATACTACACTTTATTCATATGTTCTCCCTTTGATAGGCTTTTAGGTTGTTTCTAAAACTTTTCACTTTTTACAAATAATACTATTAGAAGCATTCTCATATACATCTCTGATGGGCATGTAATGGTGTTTCATTGTGGTTTAACTTTGCATTTTCTTCAGACTGAGCTTTTATATATCTGTCGACTATTTGAGTTTCTGCTTATGTCTATTTTCTTATCTTTATAACACATATTACTTCCTTAAAATAACAGTAAAGGAAAAAATTTAAATGTAAAGATGTTAACTTTCTCCACCACCCTCAAAATTTCTCATCACCCCCAAATCCATGAGCCTTATCAAAGCAGACCTGTCTTGTCTTCTGCCTGAGAATTTGGGCCTCTGTGTATGCATTTCCCTCTGCTGGACTGAGCCTCCACAGGCTCTTTCGAAGCGTCCTTTCCTGGTGCTCCTGTAGCACTCTCTATTAACACAGGAGGCACATTATATTTAAATGACTTACATTATGGTTATTCCATTCCTGCCTTTCCCACCTCCCTGCAACTGGACCTTAATCTCCTGAAGATCAGAAGTCAAATAGAATAGTTTTTGCTTTCCCAGAGCTCATTATATTGCTAGATATGAATTGAGTTCAGTAACTCTATGGAGAATTTACTAAGATCTTGGAAAAAAGTGTGCCCCATCAGCAAATCTATGAGTGGATGCTTTCTAGTGGTGCTACTAACAGGGTAGTGTTCTCAGCTATTCACAGAACTAAGACTGTTCTAGAGCAGTGGTTCTTAGCCTTGGCTACTCATTAAAATCACCTGGGGAGCTTTAACAACTACTAATGCCTGGCTTCTGCCTCCAGAGATTCACATTTAATTGGTCAAGGATACACCCTTGGAACTGGGAAGAATCAAAAGAGTCTCACGTGATCCTAATGTGACTGCAGTTTTTTTTTTAAATGCTATGGTTTGAAAAGCACACTATTACAGGTGGAGGTATTCGTAGTTTTAATACCAAAAAACGGCCTCCGTTGCAGGCAAGGGAAATGTCTCAGAATGGTTGCAGGTGTGAATTGCTGCCCTTTTCCTAATGAACACCATTAGAGAAGCCGAGGAACCACTTAAGAGAGGTACTGTTATCCAAGGAAGATGCTGCCAATAGGTGGTCAGAACATGCTATTCATATAGTATCTCCTCTAGTAGCTGCTATAAATATAAGACTGGGGAGACCTTAATGCACCAAGGTTTCTTTTCCTCCTTCCCATTCTAGTGAACAACACATAGCAATGAGGGAAGACCAGAAATCATATGCCTTCTTTGGTGGCATTTATCCTGAAATTCAAGGACTATCTGAAATGTTATTTGCAACAATAATTAAGACTTTGACTCATAAGTCAATCTTCAGCTTTTCAAAGAAAATAGATGAGTTTGAAGAAAGTGAAATACACTGAGTATAGATTAAATTTAATGTTTAACACAATTCCTTAGTAAATTTATCTATTAGTTTATCTATAGTTATGGTAAAATTATTCCCAAAGAAATGCTCTTACATAGGAGCCAATTTTAAAAATGACAATAAAGTTAAACATGAAATATTCTATTCTCTAATGTCTACATCATGTTTTAATTTCCTCATTGACTTCATGCATTTCTTTACCTAAGAGATGAAGCAGGAAAGGGGTGTGTTATAGGATGAGTAAAGTGGTAGTTATATTATGTGCTGCTTAAATATTGCTGCATAACAAAGTATTCCAAACATTTAACACCCGAAAACAGCAGCTTACTGTTACCTCCCACAGGTCTACGTGTTGACTGAGCTCACCTGGGTGGTTCTCATTTGATGTCTCCTGGGTTTCAGTTGGAAGCTGAGGCTGGTGTCTCTGAAGGTACAATTGGGCTGGACGTTCAGGTGACTCATTCACATGATGGCAAATGTTGCTGCGACACCATCAGCAGGGAGCTTAGCTGGGGCTGTTGGCAGAGATGCTGGCAGGACACGTGGCCCCTCCATGTGGCTTGGTTTTCTTACAGCGTGGCGGCTGCGTCCTGAGAGGGAGTGTCCCAAGAGTGAGTGTTCTAGGGTGCAGGGATTAGAAGCTGCCAGTACTTTTGAAACCTGGGCTCAGAGTTCTCAGAATGTCACTTTGTCCACCGTTTCAAGGGTATAGAAAATAGTCTTCACTCTTTTTCAAGGTCATATTGGCAGCAAGCAAGAGATCGTTTTGGGAAACAATCTATCATACAACGGCTCTATTTTTATATTTTTATTTCTGTTAATGACTTGACCAGAGAAATGTCACAGACTTATTGAAACATTCACTATTAATGGTAAAATCCTACACTAATTATTAAGACGGTATGTAAATTGTGATGTGGTGACTTGCTTTCATGTTGCTGTGAAGTCAGAAACGATAACTTCAGAGTTGTATCTTGAGATCAGTTTTAATAAGTGCATCTCAAAGAGATGCGTTGTTTATTTAATGAACTAACTTAGAAATAATTTTGTCTTTTCAATAACATCATTCACAAAAGTTACGCTTATTATTAGCCTGTAAATGTTCAGTACAATATTCAACACATTATGACTGTTTTATCTTTTTATGTGGGAAGGCGGAAGTATGCAATGTTTGGTGAGAAATCCAATTCACTACAAATGTTATTTTTAAAGATGAAATAATAATTACAAGCTAACTTATTCTCTTATTTTTAGAATCCTATAAAATGGCCTCAAGTATATCTTTTTGGATGAAATATACATATACAAACATATTATTCAAGGTATGTCTTCTTGGTATGTAAGAGCAAATTTGTTGGATTTATTAGACCAATAATTGTTCCATGTAGTCAACTGACTAGTGTTCTGTTATTTTAAATTGATGGGAAGCTACAAAATTCCCACATAACTTTATGTTGTGATAAGACTGTAGTATGAAATATATAATTGCTCAATGGGCACTCAGACTTGCTACATTTTTCTGTCAAAAGGGAAAAAAAATGTAACTAAATTCTATGCTCTCTTTTTCCCACACCATCTCTATTTTGTTAATCCCTCTGACAAGCTGAGGACATTTTTGTCAGTATATGAAGGGATGGAAATAGCATTTTGGCTATAAATGTGTCAAAATGATTGTAGTTTAAAAAATGGCAGTTTATGGGACAGAGGGTTATTCTCTGAAGAAGTATTTAAAATAATCTGGGAATTGGGAGTAAATAGGTCAAGAAGTCTTTTGATGTATTGCAAAAAGAGTCATTTAAAAAAATAAATTGATTTGTAAGGTCCAGAAAGTCACTGTGGGAACTGAGGGGCTCAATCCTAAAAACAACAAAATGGAAAATACCTTGGCTTTCACACGTTCTTTTATTCAACTCATTTCTCATTTCTTCCTCAAGCACAAACAGGCTTCAAACTTAAGTGAAGCACTTTTGTTATCACATCCTGCATTAGATTTCCCCACATGGACACCTTTGCGAATACCTAAACGAGAGATGCCATACAGATGCACAAATTCAAAGGCATCATTACTCCATACTGCTTTCAGAAGAGAAGAAACAGAAACAAACTTACTAGCAACATCTGAGTAGCTAACATAGAAAATTAATCAGACTAAAAGCTTTGATAAAAATATTAATGAATTGGCAGCAATGAACATTTCCCAATCAATTAAATTGGGCTAAATTGTCTAGAAAATTTTACTTTTTAAACTTCTAATTTGGCCCGATTCACTTGATCTTCCCTTGATATTCTACTCCATTCCTCAGTAATGTTTGCTTCTGTAAAGCTGATATGCCTTTATAAGAATGAACCATTATTCCTCGGTTCTAAAAGAGGTCACCAATGGTAAGATGCTCCATTTGAATAATAATATTTCAGCAAAAATATTCTAATAGAAAAGATATTACCAATAGTGACCATTTGCTGCTACAGACTGTGAGACACATTTCAGGGGAAAAAAAAAGAGCTTCTTAGATTTTAATAAATGGTGTATGTGTAACCTGAATAACCTCATGGTCTTCACCTTTATTCTATGTAATATAAGGAAGACCTGTCCCCTTGCTGGAGTCACTCCAAACTCTTCCTCTATATTTCATTTTTGAGTACCTCAAAGCAATCTTGGCCTCCCCTCTGATAGTAATGATGTAGTTAAAGCTTATTGGCTACTTTCTGCCAGAAGTTATCACTTTCCAGCTGTCTCTTAGGATGGCAGCTAGGACCTACTAACTTCTTCCAGAAAGCTCCTTTTTAGCTCCTTGGTTTTCTGAGTCTCAGAGGCCCAGCTCTTGCTACTGTGTAATGTAGTTTAAGCCCCTTCTTTGACTCAAATGTATCTTACTGGGGCCTAGAAGAAGTCCAAACACAGCTTTTAAAATATGTATTTTTCTACTTTCCATATATAAAGGATTATATTTATTAAAAATACAAATGGAATCATGTTATACATTTTGTTCTAATGCACACACATATGTGTGTATATGTGAATGTCTATTTTGTGTAACAAAATATTATATGCAATTACCTTATTAATCTACTGAATTGCACAGTGTTCTATTGTATGAATATATAAAACATCAATTAATAAATATTTATGTTGCTTCCATTTGTTACTGTTACAATATTGCTACAATGAACATCTTTCACACACACGTATGTGAAGATGTATATGCCTGTGTGTGTGTGTATCTTTGAAAACTAATGTGAGTATATATATATACATATATATGTTAAATAAATAAATTTATTTGTTACATTCTTAGAGGTCGATCTGGTGACTCAGTTAACACAGATATTTGAAATTTTGATTTGGCTAAACTGTCTCCCATACAACCTTGAAAGCAATTCTAAAGTTCTAGGGTGGAAGTCACAGAAGAAGCAAAGCCTCTTGCTTTGCAATATTTGTCTGCATAAGACACTGCATAAGATGAAGAAAATATTTAAATCTGCTTTTCCTGGAATAGTAGTATTTTGATTAAAAATCATAGTGAATAGAATAATTTTGGCTTAGTGATTTGGGACATCAAAAAATTCTATTGGAATAATTTCCTGTATGTCTATGTCTTCTAAGACTAAAAGGATGTCACTGTCATTGGAAGTATTTGATAGATGCTGATAAAATCTAAATGGTGATTTGGGGCATGCCAGTAACAATCATGAATAAAGATTTAGAGGTCACATTTTAGCCTTTCCTACTTATTGAACCTATTTTTATTGTATTTGCTGTAATTGTATGCACTTATACAAAACTTATTATTAATTCCATTTTTTCCCATTTTCAAGAAACTCTCTAAACATGCAGATAATAGCAGAAAATCAGCTTGACACAGATATCTCTGCTTTTGCAGTGCAGCGTACTTACTCATCAAGCTGACTGCTGAATTATTTCATGATAAGATAATTTTCCTTCAAGTCTTAATACCATAGAGGCCACGTGGTCTGGTGATATTCATGAGGGAACTGTCACTTTCAGGCTCCTAGTATCAGTCACTCTTCTATCTATATTTGGTTTATGGATTCAGGAAAGTGTGATAGCAGTTATTAGCTGCTCTCAGAAAATCCTCCTGCAAGATAGATTTATTTCCTGATTAATGATGGAAATGATCCAGTATTAATTTCAGTTTTTGATATCAACAATTTTATGTTAACATCATTCTTGCTATGTTCACCTTTCAAATTACTATGATCATTCTAATGATTAAAAAGCTATTATTTGATTTAGATTCACTCTGTAATTATCACTCCTAGCATTTCTGACATTTCTTACTAAATTTGGGTTCACGAGGTTGTACTCCCACTAACAAAAGACTTTCCTATAGAACCTTTTCATGTGCATTCAAGTAAATTTAAAGCATAGAATACCAGGGAAGTAGTATTAGTCATACGTTCTATCCTACCTGAGTATGACTTTTGACAGATGCAGTGAAATTTATTTTATTGCTTTTTTACACTTGAAATTAGGATACCTTCTGCAATCTATTGTTTGTAATCATAGATTTCTCAGCACTTATAATAACACCAAATTGCTTTTTCCATTACTCTATTTTTAAAGTTGCACTCTTAGACTATTTGACCTTTATATTCCACATTGTTCACTATGATTAATGAGACAGCTTTTAATTGCAGCATTGAAAACTACTCTCAGTTAGTGTCTAAAGAATGTAATAATTACCTGAATACTGCTCCCTTTTGGACATGTTCTTATGAAGTATATCAATGAAGGCTGCAAACAATTTAAAAACAAGAAAGTACTATACAAAATTTTATATTCCCTTTCACTTAGTAAATTCTGTGAGTGTGAATAGCAGATGTTTATGAAAAATTTTCACGCATACATACATCTTTACTTTCTGGTTTTCATGTGGTTTATAGTCAATTGCCAGGTTTTTTTTGATAACACCATAATATCTTCTCCAACAAAGTATCTGTTCTTTACTGCTCATTTTGTCAGGGTGGATTCAAAAAAAAAAAAAAGTCTCATTTGTTCCAAAAATCTGAGGACTGCAAATAACAAGACCACTTCTCATTAATATCCTTGGGTCATTTATACTTACCCAAATTTTAGTATTGAAGTTATTTCCTTTGAATTTTCATATTCTGCTTTTAATGCATTAATGTATCATCCACAGTGAATCTTCATTATGGGAACATTTGGGTAAACTTTAATAATTACTCTTCTTTACATACTGGATAATCATTGAATTGAGATCTTGAAGGTTAATTAATCAGGTTCCTTTGACATCAGTCTGAATTTTGTGATTAGATGGCCTTAGAAAAATAAAAAAAAAAAACTAGATAAGGAATTGCAATGGCATTAAAATTTAGAAGTAGAAAATATATTTTGGGAATTTTATTCCTAATGTTATTTCTGTACAGTAGCAAATGAATGGGACATCAATAAGTATCCTTGGTTTTACTTAATGAGGTCAGAGCCATTGGTTGCTAACCCCTGAGATGTTCTCTGAATATTATTACCATGGAAAATCGTTTCTAAGATGGAAACTGGTCTCCACACTATATCAAAAACTTTATTTAAAAACTATTACCTTAAAGAGAATTTTCCATTTAAGAGCAGTAAAGGAAAGATCAAACTTACATTCTACCTTATTTGAACATACTTTTAATCCCTATATAGATTTAAAAAGAAAGTAAAAATAGTAATTTAGATCACTCCATAGAGAATGATTTAGGAAAAAATGCTTATTTAGTAAAGACACGATTTAGTATTCAGAATTCTTTTCAGAGTTGATTGATTTCTAAAGTTCAGATTGAGAAGACATTATCCATCCTCTTACATTATACTCAGTTTATTGACTCCAAAGAATGAAATTGGAAATGATTGCAAAAGGTTCATAAACTTTAATAGATGACAAGCTACTCAGTGTTAGAGGTAACTCTGAGAATCAGTTTCCAGGTTCTTAGTCAAGTGTTTATTACAAAATGCTGCTTCTAACTCATCCCTCACATAAACCTTTCGTGGTTGTTTAACATAGTCCCCTGAATCTCTGTTTACTTTTGTTTTTTAGCCATTATCATCTGTTAGAAAATATAATTAATGTTAAATTGCTCATGATGCAACTTATGCTCATTTTGTGCTTTTTTAAAAACTTTAGAAATATTGACAAACAGCATAAACTTAAATATCTTCTTCCTCTAATGTAAGTAATATTCTAATTAGTTTATGATACTAAATTTTCTTCATTGCTTTTACTTTGTAAGATGTTGAAATTAATATATAAATGTTATTTAATGATTTTAAGTATAAAATACGTCACTCTTCTCTTTTTCTGTCTCTGTAAAATATGCATAATATAGGTAAACAGCCCTCCCTGTAATGCATAAGATAACAAACAATATGTTAATACATAATGTATTTTTTATTTAACCTCTACCATATACCCAGGTTCACTGATTTTCTTAATTTTGCCATTTTCTATTGACAACAATGTCACTAATTTTTATTCATTTCAAATAAATCATTTTCTTCCACCAAAATTTTCACTCTGTCCTCACTTCATGCTTTTTTAGATTAACACTCTACGTAGAAAACATTCCGTCTGCCTTATATAAATCCAGTTTTCTTGTCAACTACTGCATTAACCTTTATAGAAAACATACCACTAGTAACTCTTCTGATGGTTCTTTCCTCTACTCAGTCTTTCAGAATCTATGTGCTCAGTTTATACTGTGTTCATTTTTGCACCTGGTAATGGTGTTTTGCACATGTATTTCTTTTTCTTTAGGTCTGTAAGAGTATCGTATGTGGATTCCATCTCTTCAATGAGATTATAAACTTTAAATTGAAGAGTCGTATCTTTGCATTAGTTTTTCTATTTCCTTTCTCTGCATCCACCCTCCTGCTACTAGTTTTGGTACTCAAAGGTGGTTGACTTTTTGATTTACTGAAATGTAAACAGGATTTTCTCATTGTAGTCACAGTAGTTTATTATTTTGAAAAACTATGAGTGCTAGTTCCAGATTTGGGATAATGGCTTAGACTAGAAAGTACGCATAAAGATGAACTAAAATTAATTATATAAACTATCAAGAAATAAACACAAAGAAAGCCTATAATACTATTTTCTTGATATTCAGTCAGATACTACAGATTATTATCTTTTGAAGAAAATGTACGTCACAAAACCTGTACAGAAGCAGTTTATCTTAGTTTTAAATGTATGATGTTATTTTCATTACAAATATTCAGCATCATTGGTTGTATGGCTGCAGAAATAAAAAAGGGAACATGCCACACTGGTTCATCAGAGCACATAAGACCTCAATACCAGCCTCTAGCCTTGGACTTGGGCATTTCTCCTGGGTGAGGCTGTGAGAAGATGCCTAGCCCAGTTTGCAGGTGTGGCAGAACCAGCTACCCCTTCTCTTTAACCGGCTTAGTTTCATCAGCCTCTAACCAACCTCAGAAAAGTTGCCCACTCATTAAAAAAGGTTATAGTTAGCACCAGGCAAATTTTAAGTATTTTATATTTTATTGGATTTTATGACATTGATTTGCTTTTAAAGGCAGTAATGAATAGTCCTAAAAACTATTAAGTCAATTAATGTCGATTAAACAGCTTGTAGGTACAACTGGCCCAGGTTTGAGATAAATTTTTACTGACATTACAAACTAAATGGTAAATAACGGTAAAGAAAATAATGAATAGTGATTTTACTCAACACTGTGGAAAACTACAGTGTTTATTACATATTTTATTAAATAATTTTTATTAATATTATAAACAACTAACTACACATTCTATGTAGGGGAATCTATTTATTTGCTTGTATGTGCTTGGAAAATACTAATATTTAAAATTTAGTATTAATATTCCTAAGGCATGCATTAAATTGGCCCTTGTTAATTCCCTAAGTAACATAAGAGATATTAAAAATAATTAAAAACTAAATGTAGACTCAAGAAAATGACCTTTATATTTTTATTTTCTTTTCTCTGACAAATGAAAATATGTATATGGAATAAATCCTACAGTTATTGATTTTTATATAATTAAAAGGAAATCATTTTAATTAAAATTATTTAAATGTATTACATACTTACAGTAAAAATTTTATATATCTAGCTCATTTGTAACAAATGGTCAAAAGAGGTATTTACTATTTATATCTTTATATATATATATATATATATATATATATATATATATATATATACACAAATAGGGAGTATAAGGAGTAGAAACAAGACAAAGTAAAAATTATACTTGCCTAAAAAATTAGATTTCCTACTAATTACGGTAAGAAACAGTAGATGTTAGATTGTACAATTAACTAAACTTCCACAGCAACAACTTAGTTTTTCTAACAACTTAAATACTTTTTCTAAGTCTTCATAAGTCCAGTGCTAATAATAACTTTGTTTCAGATAAAATATAGTTATTGTTACATTTGAAATAAATATTTAAAAATATTGTAACCTTAATGAACTATTAAAATAAATTGTTTTCCATGTAGGGTCTAGGAAATAGGAGTTCACTTGATAAAATAAAACACAGACTATAGACAGTAAAATTTCCTTAGGGACCCAAATAAATCTTTTGTTGAGATGAGTCATATTCCCTTTGTTTTCCTCACTTTCCCGATTTTCTCTGTGAGGAAAGTCATCAAAGTTGGCTGGGTGAATGCTTCAGTAATTCCCTTTTTGTCTTCACCTTTGCCTATGTTGATGGCACAGTCATTCAGGGAGAAGCTGGTCTCCACTGTTTCTCCATCCTTGGTCCTGGTTCTGGTAGAAGGGAAAGTTGTCCTCAATCCATTTAATTGGAAGTAAAATAAAGTAAATTTTGGTGATATGTAAATGATCTTTGAAATTAAGGCCAATAGAAGATAAAGATGACTTTCTGAAGCAACTTCTTTGTGCTGTTTGAAACACACTGCTCTGCAAAAAATTTAGAAGAGGCACCAATAGATGTGACTTTAGAAACCACTTGAAACTCTTCTTTCTCATGAACACTGACTGCCTTTTGGTCATTTGGAAGTGTGTCTTCAGTCATTACAACAGACATCAGTTATCTCTTTATATTGGTTTTTCTAAGTATAAAGCAAATTTGTCAGATAATTGACTGATGGAATCTGGAACACTGTAGAGTCAACGTCAAGCACCAGTGGTCTGCTTTAGTTGTAGATCATCATCCTTTTAGACCAGTGTTAGGTCAATGTACTAAATAATTAAAATAGAACTGCTGGTATTAAAAAAAAAATAAACCACTAATTGGAACTAAAAAAACTTACCATGCAGTAAGTATGAAAATAAACAATTCGTAACATTAGTCTTTCACGTTTCTATTATCTTGGAAAAAACACTTCAGAACTCTCCATTAAAATCTCATGATTAATGAAAAAAGGATTGTAGTCAGACAACATTGTGAAAGGATTCCATCCTTCACAGGCATGTAGAACAAATGAAAACTATTGTTTCTTTTTCTGGATTCTATACCTAGACAAATGCGTATTTGGAGAAATACATGTTTTCTTTACATATTTAAGAAAAGCCACAAGAATGAAATATCCTATTAAAGCATACTGTTGATTAAACCAAAAGGAATAATTAATCAGTTATTCTCATTTCTTGTAGGAAGTACTATGTTAGTTCTTAAAATATGATCTGCACCCTTACTTGCAGCATTGCACTACATATCAAGAACATTTTTGGAAAAATCAAGAAACAACTAACACAAAACCTTAGATCTTTAAGTGATATTTGGTTTTGGAATTTGTAACACTTTGGGACAAAACACATGAGGGGGCCAGAAGAGAAAAATGATAACAAATACATACTGTGTGAGAGAGAGGCAAAGAGAGACAGAGAGGGGGAGAGACAGAGAGGTGAGAGGTATTGAAGGTTAATTCATTTCACTTTTTAAATTTGAGAAATTAATTCCATCATTTCTCTCAACCTTGTATATTTTGACCACTGTTCAATATGTGATTCATATACTTAGTTTTTATTCTATGTTAAAATTGCCCAATTCTTCGTAAGTCCCACATCTGCTTTCTTAGCCCTTATATCTGGGAAACTGATTTTTGCTGAGGAAAATCACACAACGCTATGGATTAATGATTCTAAAAATTCATCATCTCCAACCTGTACTGGGGCCTCAATACTGTTCAGGAATATTTCTATCACACCTTCCACTCCTGTTCCTTTCAGGTTGCTTTAAAACTTTCAGAAAAAAAACTAAATACTCTCGCTTTTAAAATATTACACAATATGGTTATTTCAGATTTCATTTTATTTTCAAAGAGTA